ATATATATATATATATTTTAAATCTGAAGTATGTTAAAAATTAATGTTCCCTCCACATACAAAAAAATCCATCAATAACCCGTTTTGTCTGGGGATGTGTTTTTCAAAGCCCATGTTCAAGGTCTACACTGAGCTATCTCCATAACCTTCTGTTTCACCCATTTAGACACTATTGTCATGAATACTTGCGAGGGAGGTTGGAAAGATAATCTTGGCAGCTTTAAATTCTTCATACGAAGCTAAATGTCTCATTAGAAGTAAAACCCAGAACCTGATTCCTTAATACCATGTTCAGACAACGTATTTCAATCCACACCTGCTAAAAAATAACCACACTTCCAGGTAATAAGATTAAATGCATGAGGGAAATAATATCCAAAGCAGAAACTCTCTCCACTTAATAACCATAATGACCGTTTAAATTACTATTCTGTCATCTGCGAGAAGAACCAATATATTGTGCATTCATTTACAGTAATCTCTTTTCTCCAGTAATCAGTAAATTTAAAGCTGTTTCCTGAAGTAAAGTTATGATGTACAATTTTGCACAAGATTTTAGTTCCACTTACACTTTAATGTGGTGCAACCACATCGAGTTTCTTTTTCCAGCCGTTAAATTGGCACACCCAAATCTTTAAAGCAACTCTGGCAAAGTTTCAAGTGTCAGATAGTTCCATTTTCATCATCTCATCCAAGCCCTTGATAAAGTAGAATCCCCCAAATGAGTGAAATAATTGGTCACTTGGCAAAATATTTAGCCATCACTAATAAAACTACGTTCAATAATACCATTCTTTTCAATTGAAAAAGAAAAACTTCAAAAAAAGAGCAAGGCTGAGAGTAAAGGTAGTGTCAAATATAATATTAAAAATGAGTCGGATGCTTCAAAATAAAATTTATAAAAACTTTACTGTACGTTGCTAGTTTTTTCACTTCCTCAAAAAAATGCTTGCATAATGCATCAATTTGTTTTTTGAAAAAAGAAAAAAAATTAAGAAAATTTAGGAAAATTATATTGCTATATTAATTTCATAACACAAAATAATAAAAATAAGGAGGTTGTATAATTTATTTAACATAAGAGAGTACTCCTAGAGGAAACAGCTTTGTTACTTAAATCTTCTGAGTTCCTACATTTTAGTCTGAGGTATGTGGATGGCCTAAAAGCCTGGTCCGGGAAAGAAAGCAGCCAGAATAGAACCTTGCTCAGGAAAGCAATTAGAGAAAATGGAATCTGAATTCAGCCAAATAATATCCACTAGACCTTAGCAAAGCTTAAAGACAAAAGTGTCATGGCAGGATGTAAGAGATTGCTCTAAAGGAAACAGATTTTATTATGCCCTGTTGATGCAATGTCCAAACGCCAAGTGCATGTATTAACAGAACTTCTGAATAATTGCAACACACCTTACAAATACCACAGCAAAAACTCTTGGCCAAATTTTATGCTAAACCATCCTGCCTGTTCAATACCTACACTATGCGTGAAAACCAGACTAACTCCATGAGTTCATGAAAGGCTTTTTTTTTTCTGACTTTTTGATTGTAATGGTTAAAGATTGCATTAGGTTTTTAAGAGACTAATTTTATTGACTTATTTCAGCTCAATATAGATTTCAACTAGCTACTAGTCCGCCTTGGCCGTACAGCAGAAAGGCTTTTTTTTTTCTGACTTTTTGATTGTAATGGTTAAAGATTGCATTAGGTTTTTAAGAGACTAATTTTATTGACTTATTTCAGCTCAATATAGATTTCAACTAGCTACTAGTGAACCTTAAAACCAAATTTACCTTAGTGCTTAGCATCAGCCAAGTACACACAGGCTGACCTATATGAAAATTAACAATATTTCACATTTCCTCTAATTAATCATCTTTTTGTGAATATGCGCCACCTACTAATCTCAGCCTATCTGTGGATTAAATGTGTACCTTTTGAAAGATTAGCATTTTGTTGTTGTTGTTGTTTTGTATATTTATGTGTCCTAAGACAGTCCCCTTCATTTTTTCATCTTTTTCAGCCTCATAAAAGCTATTTCCAGAATCTGTGACAGAGGAAGCAGAGTTTTGTGGTTCATCTTGCCTTTCTGGTTACTAGCTAGAACTATCAGAGTTCCGCAATTATAGCAGAAGCACCTACTAAGCCTTGCATGGAACAACGGCCTTGTCATCACTGGCCCCATTTTCTAACTGGGAAAACAGAGTGTAACTTCCAGGCAGTCTTCCACCTAGTAGTGGCAAGAATCTAGACATAAATCCGTGCCTTCTGATTCCACAGAGTTACATATTCTTTTAAATTAGTGACCAAAATTACAGTGACAAGATCAATGTCATTTTTAGTAACTCACATTTGAGAATCAAGTTCATTAACAGTCAACTCATGGAGACTGGCAGGCTTCATCCCAGCCCTAGGGACTTTATTTTTAGGTGCTTTGCATTGTGCAGTTTTTCCTCTAATATATATTTCGCAAGTCCTTCTGACACCTACTCTTGTGAGAGAGGGCAATTAGGTTATACAATGGCATGACTTATAAAGAAGTAATTTATGAAAGGTAGTCGCATGAATGTTTTGCTTCTGGGCTTTTGGGTAGGTAGTTCCCGTTGCCTGGAACAGTGTCCTCCACACCCACTTCCCCTTGCCTAACTAAATGCTACTTCTAAGTGAGGTCTCAGCGTAAACCTCATTACATTTTTTTCAGAAAGTCTTCACCGCTCCCTGAGCCCTGGATTGGGTGACCTGCACTTTCCCAAAGCATCTTGCCTTTGCCCCTACCATGATCGTTTTCTATTGACTTACTGAAATCCCTGGCAGCATTCCACAAGGACAGTGCTAATATACTCTACAAAATGTACCTCCAATCCCTGGCAAAACATATGGTACTTAGTATGTTATTAAGTACTATTGAATGAATAAATAGAGTAACATTGCTAACATTTTTAGAAAACGCATCTACATTAATGCAACAAGCATCTTCTACCCACAACTACAGGATATAAAAATAAGAACTGAAGTGTTCTGGGCTTTGTTTTGATTCTCTTTAACTAGCAATCTTCCCGCAAGAAAACATTTAACTTCTCCAGAGGGTCTTCACTGATAAAATAAGAAGGTTAGAGTAAACCATTACATATATAAGATCCATTACAGCTCTGAAGTGACAGTCTTAAAGCTCACCTCTAGTAGATGGAGGTAAAGAAAAATTAGCCTAATGAAAGAAGGCATTATACAAATTGGATCTGTTCTCATCTTCCTGATAAAAATCTGTCTGATTTTAATGGAAGGGAAATA